TAATTAGATGTTCATGTACATGTTAATACATACTAAGGACTCATCCTTAGCACAGACTCTGTGCTGGGCAAAGATAGTGGCTCTCATTCCAAAGGGCAGCCATCAGAGGAACAAAGCCCAGCACCTTTTATCTCTCTGGAAAGCTGAACGTTGCACCCTTCCTCTTCTCCATGCTGCTTGCGCTCATCCGCTGGCTTTTCCTCTCTGCCCCATCCTATTCCCCTTCTGCTTTAATCAGAAGCAGCAGCTGAACAGGAGGTGCCATTTCACAGCTAGGGCAGAGGCATCAACAGTGAGAGGTGATGGAGAGGCTTTCACACTGCCATTAACACTCAGCATAATAACCTCGCCTGACTATGTCCTGCTATGGCAATAGGGAGCCTGAGCTGTAAATCCTCAGCCAAGCTCATCTTTCATCACCGTCCCTTTTGGGGTCAGACAATTAATCTGTCAATTAATCACTTTTCTATGTGGCAGTGCTTACATATAAGCAGAGATCACTTGGAGCCAAGCATGGCTGCACCAGAGGCACCTTGGCTTCAGCACATGTGGACAAGAACTGCCTTTCCTGAGGTTTTAGGCGTATGCACAGACACAGGCAGCATCTACCATCACACTCCTCACATTTGACTAGTTTATGCCTTTTGGGACTATGCTGCTTAGCAAAGGCAGGCTCTGTATTGCAAAGATAGGCTCTCTGTTGCAAAGACAAGCTTTCTATATTGCAAAGCTGGGCTCTGTATTGCAGACACGGGCTCTCTAAACCTCTGGCTGCAGCACCGAGTTGTTTTGTGATGCTGGATGTGACCTTTCCCTTCCACTGTCTCTCTGTGTTCTGTACGTCTTCAGCCTTCTGTCTCTCCTCCTCAAAGCACAGCCTATACCAGAAATACTCCCTCCCTGCAGGATACTCACAAAACCAAAGCACCGTTGAAGGGAAAAACAAAAGCCTTTGCCATGGCATGGGTTTTCTCTATGATTCAGATGCACTGTGTGTTTCAGTTCAAACCCTCCACCAGTGGTGAAAATCACAGATGGGCAGGGTATGGTCATGGAGAGCCCTCAGGTGGCCCTGAGTCCCTTCAGGTGGTCCCATGTCCCCTTGGACATTCCTGGTGACCCTTTGATATCCCTAGAAATGTTTGAATGTCCCCATAGTCCCCAAAACATGTCTGTGGCTCCCCTTACATCTTCATGTCTCCTTGGACATCCCTGTTCAGCCTGGAGAAAAGAAGGCTGTGGGGTGACCTCACTGCAGCCTTTCAGCACCAAAAAGGAGCCTACAAAACAGGAGGGTATCAACTCTTGGAAAGGGCAGATAACAGCAGGACAAGGGGAAATGGTTTTAAGTTGAGGGAGGGGAAATTGAGGTTGGATGTTAGGGGGAAGTTCTTTGCTATGAGAGTGGTGAGGTGCTGGAACAGCTGCCCAAAGAGGCTGTGGATGCCCCGTCCATCCCTGGAGGTGTTCAAGGCCAGGTTGGATGGAGCCCTGGGCAGCCTGGGCTGCTGTGAAATGTGGAGGTTGGTGGCCCTGCGTGTGGCAGGGGTTTGGGGATTCATGATCCTTGAGGTCCCTTCCAACCCTGGCCATTCTGTGATTCTGTATGATTCTGTCATCTTCTGGGATGTTCCTGATGCATCTCAAGTGTCTCTATGTCCCAGGACAGCCTCATGTCACTTTGGTTGTCCCCCAGGGCCTCCCAGATGCCCCCAGTGTGACACTTAGGGTTGTGGCTTAGCAGGCGTGGTGGCTATGGGTTGGCAGTTGGATTGGATGACCTTGGAGGTCTTTTCCAGCCCTAATGATTCAACGACCCTGTGGGATCCCACAGGTGGGAATGAGTTGATGGCTGGACTGATTAATCCTGAAGACTTTTTCCAACCTTAACGATCCTATGAGTGGAAACGATGGGGACGGGTTGTTGGATGGGCTTCATCTTGGTGGTCTTTCCCAACTTTTAAGATTCTACAACTCTACAGCTCTTTTGGACACACATCACGAGGACCTGGCCTTAGGTGGAACCCTCCTGGCAGCACTGCTTTGTGCCTGCAGTACTGGAAATCCGCACTGCAGAGCCCCAGCCCTAACCCTGCCCTGACTGCTCAGAGATTTCTACCCAAGCTTCCTATGTGGCAGCTCAGGGTGAGGAACTGGACGAGTGAAACTGAATTTGAATGTGAGAGAGGGAAGAAAATAACCCTTTGAGTAATTTATGAGGCACGTTTATGGCTGTTATTTATAGATCTCTATGGGAATTCACATTGTTCTCTGCCATCTGACATTATCTGGCAGTGCAGCCTGGAAAAAAAACAACACTCCCCCCCAGAAAAGAACCCTCCTTCAATGCCACATTTTCTATCAATACCATTGAAAGCTCAGGGTGTCAGCAAGTCATCAGCCTGTCCCTGCTCTCCTCTAATGACTTAGGGCTTCAATGTACAAGGGCTCGTTTAAAACTCTCCTCACAGTAAATCAATGGCTCTGGGAAAAGAGGTCCCTTCTCTCTCCTTTTCTCAAAGGAAACTTAACTCACTTTTTTTTCTTTCCTGTGTTCTCCTGGCATTTGATTTCACATGCATGCAAAAATACTGCATCAGTGCTCAGAGGAAAGCACTCAGTGGGGCTGCACGGCGCCCAGGGCGAGATGAAACGTGTTTCTTTATGCCTCTGCCGTTAGTTCTGGGCAGATGAATGAATTCAGGTGCAGTGAAAACAGCCTCTTGCACACAAGCTGCTCCTATTTAGAATAGAGGATGTCATCTGGAGCAGCAGGGCCACGGTGGTATCCATGAACCTCTGCACCATTGCTGAGGCAGCAGAAGAGCAGAACAGCGTTCCGCTCCCAGCTCTGAGCCGATGTGGGCACGAGGTGTGGATCTAATCAGAGGAGCGAGGTTCGTTTCCCTGCATTCCCTCCTGTCCTGTGATGGGCAGAGTTGTTTTGCTGTGTTTCTTCAGATGCCTGATCTCAGGAGGCTTTGACCCAGATGCTGAGCCCTGACTCACAGTACAGCACTCCTAGAGGGCCTTTTCCTGCGCTCGGTGCCTTGCTGCTGCAAGATGAGCAGAGGAAAGGACAAAACACACCTGACTTAAGGCAAAAATGTGGGATGGGAATCTGGTACAGAGTTGTCCCATAGCCTGGGAAAGCTCAGCTGTCACCAGACTTGTTTATGGAGGGCGAGAGAGCAAAGGGGAGCAAACCATGGGGTTTCCTGCAGAGCTTTGGTCAGTCCACAGATGATTTGGTCTGTCATGTTCAACTAGACCGAGTCCTCTGGGACTGCACAGTTCTCTTTGACCAAGAGGTAAAAGGAAATGGCCCAGAGAGGAAGGCCACATTTAACCCCCCGTGTCCCTGCTCCTAGCATCACACAGAGCAATGCATCCCTGGGGGCAGGAGCCAACGCTCCGAGTGCGGATGAGCTGTGACACTGGGATGGCACCTCGTCCCAGTCCAGCCCCTGCTTCCCGTTTGGCAACAGACATCCCCTCCCTGGCCCAGAACCCAGTAGGAAAACCATTTCTATGCTGCTCTGCTGTGGCTGTGAATGCGATAACAAGGTGAAACATCGATGATTCCCCACCGCGCAGCCAAACTTCAATAAAAAAGAGATTATTCCAGCACAAAGATAAGGCAAGTTTTGGTGTCGAAAAGCACAACATATGACAGCCAAAATGTGTGAACTTTCTATTGAGGGCGGTCCGTATCTGCCTTGGAGGAAATTGTGTGGAGAGGAGAGGGAAATAGGCTCAAGAAAGCAGCAGGAATGCAGTTTAAAAGTATCTGGTATCTGGTGCCCTCTTTTGGAAATGCTCGTCTTTAAAGGAGCAGCACAAATGCTCCGTGGTTTTGTGTGTCTCTGGAGTACGGATTTTCTTTCTGGACTTACAGTACATCTCATAATTATACAAAATAGGAGTTTGGGTTAGCAGTTTAACCAATTGTTTTCCATAAAACCACTGTGCAGTTTGTGAAGGAGGAGAGGCGAGGCGAGGCGAGGCGCTATTGTGTTTGTTTGTTTGTTTTCTATGTTTTGCTTTGCTTTAGGTAACTAAACTGAATGATAACATGTAAGGCTCACTCTGTGTTATTACAGGACAGTGCCCTGTTAGGCTTACATTACACTAGAATACTCTTCAGTGATTCATACTTCCTTAACACTGAAATGCTATCTGGCAATATAACAGAAAGGAGATATGAAAATGTCATCCCTGTGTCACGATAATCATACGCCCTGTGCATGTCCTACGTTTATTACACCCTCCATCATATCCCAGCCATACAAGGGGCTCTGGAGGCAGACGTTTCCGTTGTTGGGGGTCCTGCTGCCACCTCGAGGTACTCAGCCAAACGGGGAAACCTGCTGTGCTGCAGCGTGAGCCTCCAGTCCCGCTGCTGGGCACCGCCGGGCACAGCCTGGCTCCGTCCTCTTTGCATCTCCCCGCAGGGACCGATGGCTGTGATGGGATCTCCCTGAGCCTCCTGTTCTGCAGGCTGAGCCGCCCCAGCTCTGCCAGAATCCCACGCCAAGCCTTCCCCAGGTAGTGCTGCCTGAGGAGGGCAGGGGATTTCGGAGGGGAGGGATGGGGCTGCTGGGGGCAGCACTGGGACACGGCCCTCTGTGCTGCCCCGCAGGTGGGCACTGGGCTCTGGGGGGGTTTAGTGCTGCGTGAATGACTGCAAGCGGAGGCGTAGGAAAGTGAATATAAAACCTTTAATAATTTAATGCAATGTAACCTAATTGAACATCGTGTCAGATAATGGAGCGGTCCAAGATGACGTCGGTGGACAGCCCAGGTTTGGAGGGGCAGCGCTGGGGCCGGTGCCGGTGCCCCTGGAGCACCGCCGCTGCTCTCTGTGCCGCAGGGGCCGGCGAGGAGCCCGGGGCTGCAGGGAGCCTCATTTGCGGGCCGTGGCCGCGCCTCAGCTGCGCCTTCTTTGCGGGCCGCTTTCCGCAGCCGCTCCCGCTGAGGCTGAGCCCGGCCGGCCTCGCCTAGCGCCGCCGTTTCTGCCGCGGAGCGTCCTGGCCCGGGGGCGGCTTCCTCTTCCCGGCCGGGACGCCGTCCTTGCGCTGCTCGCGCCCTCTGCTCCTGCCTTTCCTGGCGCTGCGGGCGGGCGCCGGGCACTCGGCCGGCTCGGTGCCACCCTGGCGGCGGCTGTCCGGCACGCGGCAGGAGGTGCAGCCGGGCGGCAGCGCCAGGCGGGCGAGAAGCACCCGGGGCTGCCTCTGCCGCGCCTCCTCCATCAGGTGCTCGCGGAGCCGAGACTCAGAGGATGCCGGCTGCCCTGAGCACGGCTCCCCGAGGGGCCCGGCGACAGCCTGCGCCTCTCTGCTGAGCTGCCTGCCGCTCGTGAGAAGGTCGGGGGCCGCTCCGATGGCAGGAGAGGTGCTGAGGCTGCTGGGGACGGCTGGCAGTGGCGGCTGGGGGACCTCCGGGCAACTCGACGCTTCTGGAAAAGCAAAACCCCCCCAGAACGATGACGGCAGCCTTCCCACAGCCACTCGGGGCGGACATCCGCCCGCCGCCGCTGCGGCCCCTGCACTCACCAGCGATCCAGGTGAGCAGACTGTCGATGTCCTCCTTGTCCCCTGGAACGGCTGAGCTGGGGGTCCCTTCTGGAGAAGGAAGGAAATCCCCAAGGGTCAGGGCCAGCTTTCCCACAGCCCCTCGGTGCAGACATCCCCGCCTGCTCCGCAGCCCCTCAACTCACCGTTGCTGAGCCACGCCAGCACATCGTCGATCTCCGAGGTGTCGACCGGGATGCCTGCGTTGGATGTCAGTTCTGGAAAGAGCAAGAAGATCCCCACAGGGGCACTGCCAGCTTTCCCACCCCCCGTCGGCGCGGACGCCCACCCGCCCCCTCTGCAGACCCCACACTCACCGCTGATCCACGGGAGCAGATCAGCAACGTCCTCCGCCACGTCTGCGCTCGCTGTCGCCGCTGGAAAAGCAAGAACGTCCCCAGTGAGGCGATGCCAGCCTTCCCACAGCTGCCCGGTGCGGACAGCCTGCCGCCCGCCCTGCAGCCCCCAAACTCACCACCTGAGTCCAGCGCCGCGCCGCTGCAGCCGAGCGGAGCCGCGGTGGGTTGGGGGCACGCGTGGGTGGGCGCCGGGTGCCCCTGGCCCTCCGTGAGCACCACGGCATCTGCAAAGGGCCCCGGCGCCTGCTGCCAGCTGGCGGGCAGGGTGCAGGGCGCGGGGAGCCCCTGCTGCTGCGCTGGAGGTGCCGGCGGAAGGACGCGGCGATGGGGGTCCTGCAGCGGGCAGCCGCCTGCGGGCTGCGGGGGCTGCGCGTGGAACACGGCCCCAGGCCACAGCCCCATCGGCTGCGGGGGCTGCGGTGTCCCTGCCTGCAGGGGATGTCCCCAGCGGTGGGCAGGGGCCGCGGGGGGAGCCGTCCCTGGGTGCAGCCCCCAAGGTGGGAGCTGACGCACAGATGGAGGCGGCCCCCCGGGTGGGAACTGCGCTCCCTGTCCCCGGACACTGGGCACCCCAGGCCAGACCTGAGGCACCACGGAGGTGACAGCGGGGACGTAGAGGGGTTGCGGTGTCACCAGCGCTGCTGCGTTGCCAAAGGTGGGCTGTATTGCAGCAGGCCGGTGGCGCCACAAACGATCCAAAGAAAGCGGCGTCGGGTGTCGGAAGCACCGTCAGCGTCCGTGAAGGGATTCTCTCTGTGGGGAAATGCCCAAATGGGCGCTGGGTGAGATGTGGGGCACTGGGAGCAGCCGCAGGGCCGCAGTGCCAGGAGCAGAGCAGCCTGCTGCCTTACCTGCCAAGGGAGCTCGAGAGTGGCAGCGGGGGGTTCCGTGACCGCTGAGCTCAGCCCCTCTCCCTGAGCTCACAAGAGCTCTCTGTGACACTGTCACAGCACGGCTCTGCGCCTGCCCCGTCCCCAGCACTTGCTGTGGCTGCTCGCTGTGGCCTTCCGTTGTCTCAGTGGAGATGATAAACATGGTGGAAATGAACTTTCTACGTGTCTGGGTGGCGATGGGACCAAGGGAATGGTTTTAACGTGAAGGGGGGGATTGGGATTCGAGGTCAGGGAAGTTCATCCCAGGGGGAGCTGAGGCCCTGGTACTGCTGCCGGAGCGGCCGTGGGTGCCCCATCCGTGCGGGTGCACCCGACTCAGCTCCATTGCAGGGAATGGAGACGAAGGCAGGGACGTGGCTGATGGCACTCCGACTCCCGGTGGCATCGCAGGGCTGTGGTGCTTGGACTCTGAAAGCCACCAAACTCGCACTGCTGGCTGCCTCCCTTCACACATCCGCCTGTCACAAAGCACAGGGGCTGGAAGGGAGCTCTGGAGATGCCCGCAGTACAACCTGCCCCCAGAGCAGCTTCCCTGCAGCGCTTGCACAGGAGAGTCTGCCTTGAGCTGGGAGCCCAGCACTCACCCAGTGCTCCACTCGTGCCCAGTGCTTTCTGCGGCCCTCAACAGCCTCCCAGGGCCACCCGTCCTGCCCTGGGCCCCCTGTCATAGAATAATAGAACCATAGAACCATAGAATCGCAAGGTTGGAACCTGCAAGATCATCCTGTGCAACCGCCCTCCCATCACCACTGCTACCACCAGCACTAAACCACATCTCGCAGCTCCTCATCCACACTCCTGTTGAACGCTGCCAGGACGACGACTCCACCACCTCCCTGGGCAGCCGTTCCATGCCTGACTGCTGTCGAGAGAAAAAGCTTTTCCTCATCTAACCTCCCAGGGCCACCCGTCCTGCCCTGGCCCCCCCCACCAACACACCCGATGCTCAGTACGTGGCCATCTCTTTCCCCAGGCACAGAACGAGGCGACGCGGGGCCGCGCCCGGGATCCCCCCGAGCCTCCTCTTCTGCAGGCTGAGCCGCCCCAGCTCTCCCGGAATCCCACGCCGAGCATTTCCCACTCGGCGCTGAGGAGGGGAGGGGATTCGGGGGGACGAACGGGGCCGGCGGCTGCAGTCCTACAACACGGCCGTTTGTGCCGCCCCGTCCTCACCCAGAGCCGGGCACGGGTTGGGATATCGGAGCTGCAGAACGGACGGCAGGCAGAAGCGGTGAGCAACGAACGCTCAACGTTTAATCGTTTAACACAGAGCGACAAACAGCGCCCGGCGGCCCCGAGGCTCGGGGCAGGCGGCGGCACAGCACCGCTCTCCCCACACGGAGCCCCGCGGCCGCCATTGATGGAGAGCCAGGGCTCGGCCCCGCCTCCCCCGTTCTCCCATTGGTCGGTCCGCCGAACGGGGCGGGCGCTCCGCACGGGGTCCTTTCCGTGTGCTGTCGCGCCGTCATTGCGTCATCAGCGCGCGTCCCGTATGGCCCCGGCCCGGCTGCCCGCGGCGCTGCCCCGCGTCATGCGCCTGCTCCGCTTCCAGCGTCCCGGGGCGGCCGGGCCCCGGCTGGGGTTGCAGGAGGACGAGGGCCGTGACGTGGTGGCCTGCAGGGTCCTCTCTGACCTCAGACCTCTCTGCAGGGTCTTCGTTTCCGTAGGCGGATGATAGGAGGGTGCAGGAGCTGAGGGGCGATGGGAGGGAGGGGTGCGTCCTGCCGTGCCGCCGGCAGCCTGGGGGCCGCGTGCTGTGGGTGCCGGCACGAAACTCCTCCATCCTTCAGCACAGGAGCCGCGGTTCTGGCTTCAGCGGCAGGAACTCGGCGCAGCCCTGCAGAGAGCGGTCCGGCAGCTGGAGAAGATGACAGCCGTGGAGCGTGAGAGCCTCAGCGGTGTCTGCAGCCTGCGAGGAGTCGATCGGGGCTGGGAAGAGGAAAGTGTGCGAGTCCTGGGCAGGGACGCAGAATGGCAGCATCAGCGGCAGGACCGGCTGCATCCTCCTCCGCTCCTGACGCCGTGCGCTGGTTTCCTTTGAGAAGCGCCCCAATGTCACCTCTGTGGGGTTCCGCAGGACACACAGACATGGGGTGAGTTTAGGTTGGATCTCAGGAAACACGTCTTTAGAGAAAGGGTTGTGAAGCACTGGAATTTGCTCCTCAGGGCGGTGATTGAGTCACCATCCCTGGGTGTGTTTAAAAACCGTTTGGATGTGGTGCTCAGGGACGTGATTTAGAGGAGGTTGTTAGAGTGAGGGTAGGATGGTCAGGTCGCGGTTGGACTCGGTGGTCTTTAAGGTCTTTTCCAGCCTGATTCTGTGATTCTGTAGGGACGCTGTGTGTTGAACTGCTGTTTATTGCATAGCACCAGCACAGGGCAGGACTGGAGACTGGGAAGACTGGGATGGTGAGGGCAGTGTGTGGCTGTCGGCTCCTCGGGTGGTACCAGGACACATCGCACACAATCACAGAATGGCTCGGGTTGGATGGACCTCAAGGATCACCAATCTCCAACCCCCTGCCAGGCGGGGCCCCCAACGTCCCCATTTAATACCAGACCGGGCCGCCCAGAGCCCCGTCCAACCTGCCGCGTTCTGCCCCTCCCGGGATCTGCCCCTTATGGGCGGGCATGGAATACTTGGGACCCGGAGTCCCTCCCCGCTGCGGGGCGTTGGCTCCGCGTCGTGGCCCGGCCCGGCAGAGCTCCGTTCTGCGCTGCAGAGCCGCTTCCCGTGCTGTCGGTGAGTGACCCCGCCGGAACGCGTGGGGCCGCCGGGCCCGGGGGACGTGGGATGGGGATGGGGAGGAACGCGGCACGCGGAGCTGCGGTGTCCCGGTCCGGCCGCGCCGCCCCGCTGAACGCAGCCGGTTCTCAGCCGCACCTCCGCGATGTGCCGCTGCTGCGGTTTTGCGTTGCGGAGGCGTTTGCCCTGAGCGCGGCTTGACCTTTCCTTCCCTGTGTTTGGTTTCTTTCTGCCGGCTCTTTTGCGCTCAGAACGCTTTTGCCTCCCTCCCTTTTTGACCTTTCTTTTGTGCTGCTGGTTTAACAGCCCTGCTTCCGCATACAGAGCGACCGAACGATCAAACAGCATCAGAAAAACATCTGTCAGGTGCAAAGCCGCTACTTAGTGCCCAAAACAAACATTAAGACAATCTGGTTGGCTTTGCATTTCTGCCAAGGACTCGAGAAGGGCGGAAGCTTTATTTTTCTGATGCCTGGGTCGTAGGTTGCCCAGAGATCCACGATTCCATGAAGGAGAGAACAAATTGAGTGCTGAGGAGCGCCTGTGTGGCAACGCCGTGCTGAGCTTGCTTGGCAGGGCAGCGCACTGTGATGATGTTCCAGATGTGTAAGAGTCACATGCAGGGCGAGCACAGGCACTGCTGCTCTTGCACAAGGGCTGGGCTCACTGACAGCAGCACAGGAGTGGCAGTCTGCTGCTTGTAACCTCAGCCAGGCTGTCACTCTAGGAATAAAAAAGGCATTTCTTACGCCCTGCTGCCTTGATCTGCATCCCTCTCTCACGCAGAGCTGCTGTCGTGCTGCAAGGCAGGCCTTGTTGGTTCAGTGCGAAGCAATGTGTGTTTATGGGCATTCTGTAGTGCTGTTCAGGTGTTGCTTTCAGATTGGGAAATCATGTGTGTATCGCTGTGCCTTACAGTCACAGTCACTTAACCAGCACCACGAAATGGCAGGGGTGGCACCTTGTAAGAACTGCTTGCTAGAAAACTGATGCTCTCTCTGGTTTTTATTGCAGTTGCCAGCAGCTGGTGGACCTGAACAATAAGAGATTAACCAAGCACTTGAGCGATGGTGAGTGTGCCTGTTTGCTGTGCCATGCTGTGCCAGGCATTTGCCCTGATCACATGAATGTAAGGAGTGTGGATAGGGCAGGAAGAGCGCTATCTTTTTACGAGTGGTAAATTTGTAACTTCTTTCTGTTTCCTCCTATAGAGGACAATGCCCCACATATATCTGCTTTTCCTGCTTGAGAGTTAATAAAAAATCCAACTGAATGTTAGCTCATAGAGGAAGTATTTTTCCAGATAAACTCTCTGGGCATGCTGTTCCCTCCTGGTTCAACCCACAGGGTTCCACCCATGCAGTGGTTATTCCTGTGCCTATTTTCCAAAGCCCAGACTTCGTGAAGGTCAGCACTGTTTTGCTGTTGATCTTTGTTGGAACAGAGGTGGATCGTAGGAGGCAGTGTGATCCCACAGAGGTGGCACTGAGCAGGAGGCAGGAGAAACCCGTTTGTGAATGGCCGTTTTGAGCCAAACGCAGCACGTCGTGTGTGTTGTGGAAGCACTGCATGGCTGATGCTGGAGGGGACCTCTGGTCCATCTGGTCCAGCCCTGCTCCAACAAAGCTACCAGAACTGGTGCCCAGGACCACGTCCAGATGGGTTTGGAGATCTCCAAGAGGAGAAACTGCAGCCTCTCTGGGTGCCTGTGCCAGTGCTGCAGCTTACAGTGCAGGAGTGCTCCTGATGTTTGGTGGCAGCCTCTGGTCCTGGCACTGGGCTCCATGGGATGCAGCCCGGCTCCATCCTCTCTGCCCTTGCAGGATTGATGGCTGTGGCTGGGATCCCCCTGAGCTGCCCTTCTCCAGGCTGAGCAGCCCCCTCTCTTTCAGCCTCTTGTCGTGGAAGAGGTGTTCCAGTCCCTTCACCATCTTGGTAGCCCTCCATTGGACTCTTTGCAGTATGTCCAGCTGTCTCTTGGACTGGGAGCCCAGAGCTGGATGCTGTTCTCCAGGTGCAGCCTCACCAGTGCCGAGCAGAGCAAAAGTAATGGTGCAGAATGATGGAATTACCTGGTACAAGTCAGGAGTAGGGTTGTGATGGGAGCACACTGTGATTGACGTGGAGAACTGCTAGGAAGAAGGCCTGGTGGGCCTGAACACAGATGCCAGATGGTCCAGCTGTTGTTTCACTGGAAACCAGATCCTCCATGGGCAGCGATGTGGAGAAATGTTCTCTTTGTAGTTGTGCCTCTGTGGCTTCTTTCTGATGTGCCAGGGAAGTCCCACTAGAACAGGCTGCTGTGTGAGACAGAAGTGAGAGAGAAGCATCACTTGTGTGGGTGGAGTTTTATCATCTCTGTGTTCACCTTTTTATTTTTATTTTTTATTTATATTTTTCCCATTCAACTCTACGTCTGCATCGGTGCCAGTCTGCCTTTGCTAAATCCTTTTCTTGTGGCCTTAGGCAACAATCAAGGGGGTCTCAAGTTTCAGCCCTGAGCAAGAAGCGCAGGCACTCAGGAAGGCCATGAAGGGCTTTGGTAAGTTGATCTCCCTCCACAGATCAACTTTATTTTTTCCCCAGCACTGGGAATGGCTGCTCTGGTGGTTTGTTAGAGGGAAGCGTAGCTGCTTGCATTGCTCCGCTGCACAGCTGCCCTAAAAATCGTTGGGAAGTGGAAACAGAAGTGCCCTTCATGCCCTGAAATGCAGCTGCTCTGGTGATGTTGGTCCTGGCAGCTTTGTGTGCACAGATGGAGGCCTGGGGCTGCTGAGAGCCAGCTGTGTGAGGGCCTGGAGGTGGCACAAGAGCAGAGGGCACTTCTGATTCTTGTGCAAGCAGCCTGACCAGCTGCCATTTGTTTCTTGCAGGCACGGATGAAGATGCCATCATCGACATCTTGACCAAACTCAATGTTTCCCAGCGTCAGCAAGTTCTGATCACCTACAAGAGCACTATTGGCAGGGTAGGTGCTCTGCAGAGATGTGAACGTGGTTGTGTCACTTGGCGAAAAGTGAAAAATGACCCAATTCCCACAAGAGAAAGGTCAGCAGAGACTTTACCTGACCAAGGCTGTTTTGTTCCTGTTCAGTTCAGAGCAGTTGTTGTTGCAAGGAGGGTTGAAGCCTGAAGAGAAGTGCTGCACAGCTCAGTTCCTTCTGTCCTCGAAGGCCGTGCCTCTGCCAACTGCTTTCTCCTCTCTTGGCCTTCTAGGATTTGATCGATGACTTGAAGTCGGAGCTGAGTGGGAATTTTGAGAGGGTGATCATTGGGATGATGACTCCCACCACCATGTATGATGTGCACGAACTAAAGAGGGCTATGAAGGTTTGGAAGTCTTCCTTTTGTATTGCTTAAGTTCTGGCCAAGGACTCGCTGCTTTGTTATGTATGACTTCTCATTAATTACTACCTCTTAAAGAAACCCGGCTGCACGTCACGAGCAGTTGCTGGTATCTGAAATCTTGCCTTGGCGATTCCTAGGGAGCAGGAACAGATGAAGGCTGCCTGATTGAAATTCTGGCTTCTCGCACCAATGAGGAGATTCGTCGCATTAATGAGAACTACAAGCTTCGTAAGTCGAGCAAGAGGCCAGGCCTTGTCCTGCTGCCTGCCGTCAGTGTGTGTGTGCAGGCAGATGTGAAGGAAGGAGTCTGGGGAGCTTTTAGGTGTGACAAACTGGCCAACCTGGGTGTTGCTGTTTGTCCAAAGAGAAGCTAGACTGGAATTTCACCAGCAGCTGAACTGGTGGAGCTGACATGGGGAGGAGCATTCTGTCTGTCAGCGGGACACGTGGCTCTCTTGTCAGTTTCTTGCTGTCTGTGCTTCTTCATTGGAGGCTGCAGCACTGATGATGATGGCTGGAGCGCTGCAGTGATGCTGAGAGCCCTGGCACAGTTCTGCACTTAGCTAGCTTACAGCTGGTAAATGTTGTGGGCAGCAGCCAGGTGGTGGCCCTGCTCCTAACGGATGCTGTGTGTGTTCTTGCTAGAATATGGCTGCTCCCTTGAGGATGACATCGTGTCTGACACATCTTCCATGTTTCGAAGGGTCCTCGTGTCCCTCGCAACGGTGAGCCACGCTGAGGGGAGAAGGGGCTGAATGTTCAGAGCTGTGGGCACGGCTCTGCACTCAGTGGTGAGGAGCTCCAGGCTGGCTTTTTCTCACTCTGTGTGTCCCATGGCTGCTCCTCAAGCCCAGCTTCTCCAGGGAGGGAACTCTGACTCTGGGTGTGCGTGAGTGCTGTGGGCTCTTCTTAAATGCCCCAGTAAAGTGGGTTGCTGCTCGTTTCAGAAGAAAGCCCGAAGCACACCTGAGCTGTGTTTCATTTGTGAGCTGTGTTCCTTTTGAAGGACTCCATTATCCATCTCCAGCAGCTGTTCCTGAACGGGGAATTCCCAGGAGTTGCTTCCAGTAGATGCTCTGGTGAACGGAGTCTTCTATCCTTGTGTCTTTGCAGGGAAACAGAGATGAAGGCATGTATGTGGATGAAGGCCTTGCTCACCAAGATGCTCAGGTGTGTAGTAACGTGCTTCCCAATCTATTCTTGTGCATGTGGTGCGTGGTGAAGAGAAGCCAACCTGTGACATAGGAATAATGGTTCTAGTCTTGTTTGCAAGTCTCTAATGAGAGATCTCTAGGCAGGCTGGTTACTTGGCAGGGGCAGTGACATTTTGGTTGTGGGTTGCCATGCCTGGTTGGTGCTGGTTGGAAAACCCCTGTGATCTGGACAAGTACAGACCAGCAGCACTCCAGCTGCAGGAATTTAAGATCTCTTGTACTTCAGTCTTCTCCATGAGCCTTACTTTGTCACCCATAATGTCTTTAAGTGCCTGTACGAAGCGGGGGAGAAGAAATGGGGAACAGATGAGGTGCAGTTTATGTCCATCCTCTGTACACGGAACAGGTATCACCTGCTGAGAGGTAGGACAGCGTCCTGGCTTTTCCTTTCCTTCCTCGTTTGTGTGATGCTCTTGTAGGAGCTCCGTAGCTGTTCAGTAGCTGTGAACTCCTCTGAGGCAGCAGGTCCTGCAGAGAGCCCCAGTGCATCCATTCCATTCGGGCTGCTTTATTCCCTCCTGAGACTGAAAGGGGCTTCAGAAACCTCAGCACAACTGGCTGCTGCTCCAGCATGGAAAGCAGAGATCATGAGGTGTGACTGCCATTGGGGCAGGGGGGAGAGAAGCTAAGAAACTTGATTGGCAGCACAAAGCAGCAGGTCTTGAAAATGGTAACAGCTGTGGTAGGCAATTAGCAAGTCTGTTAGCAATGAAAATGAATTATTTCTGTGGGACGATTCTGGTTTAGCTGACAGTGCTGCAGGAGTCGTACAGTGTTCGTGCATCACATGAGGAGCTTGTTGTAAAGAAGTCCTTTGAATCTCTCTGACTTTCTGCCGTGGACTCTTCCTCCTAGTTTTTGATCTGTACAGAGGCATTGCTAACAAGGACATAACAGACAGCATTAAATCTGAGATGTCAGGAGACCTGGAAGATGCTTTGCTGGCTGTGGGTGAGTGCTCTGCTTTTAAACGTTGTCCACAAAGGAATGAAATGATGAGAGGTGCTGTGAGTTCCCTTGAGTGACTGTTATGAGCAGGTTTGTCTTTGTTTACGGGCACAAAGCCAGGCTGGGTGGGACGTGGAGCACCCTGTGTAGAGGGAGGTGTCCCTGCCTACTGCAGGGGGTTGGAACTCGATGATCTTAGGGGTCCCTTCCAACCCAAACCATTCTATGATTCTGTGCTTTACAGACCCAGTCAGGTGAGAAAGCTTTGTGCCTTATGGCACGGTGTGCTTGGCCAAAGGGAGCTTTGGCAGCAGAGGTTTGCTGTCAGGAGGCACGAAAGCCTTTGTGCAAATCCTGCAGGCACAGAGACAGCAGCTCACAGCACATCACTGTGGATGCCTGCACTGCAGCTGCTGTTTGTTAACCTGGAGTTGCATCTTGACAGAAGAAACACCTGCACCCAGAAAGTGCTGCATTGGTGTGGAAAACCTCCTGCTGGCCTTAATTCTCTTGTTAATGCTCTTAATTGTCTCTCTTGTGTCTCCTCCAGTCAAGTGCATGCGAAACAAGCCTGCGTACTTTGCTGAACGGCTGTATAAATCCATGAAGGTAAACAGATTGTGGAGTGAGATTGCTTGCTTCTTTCTTGCATTTTTGTGCTGGAGTCAGCAGCATCACGGCAGTCGAGATGGAAGCTGCAGCCACACAGGAAACTGGCTTTTCTAGGAAAGCTCAGGCTTTTCTGCACATCAGAGTAACAGTCATACCCAGGAGCAAGCTGCTAACGGGTCACAAAAAGGCTCTGATGAAGAGCAGCTCCTGCACAGGATGGGCCCTGAGCCCTTTGTGTCTGCAGGTGATTCTCCAGCAGTTCTGTGTCAGCTGCATGTGGCTTCTTTGCTTTCCAGGGCCTGGGAACAGACGACAGCACTCTGATCAGAGTGATGGTGTCCCGCTCCGAAATTGATATGCTGCATATCAGAAGGGAATTCCTGACCATGTATGGGAAGTCTCTGCACTCCTTCATCAAGGTAAACTTGTCCGTGTTTGACACAAACAGTGGGACTTTCTGAGTGCCTTTAAGGAGGTGATTCCCCCCCCCGACACCTGTTGGGTATTTTAGAGCAGCTGAGATGAGGCAGACATTACAAAAACGTGCTGAAAATGTTCCTGAATGCTCTTAAATTGTCTAGAGGATAAAAACACTGCAAAGAAAAATCTGCCTTAAGAACAGTTTGACTTTGGTAGAACTTGAAAATTATTCATATTCCTTTTTTCCTTTTCTCAGTAACTCAGTTTGCTCTGGCCTTCTCTGCTCCTCTCCTCCTCTTTCTTTTTTCTGCGCTCTCCTCCCTCTTTCCTTCCTTCCTTCTTCCATCTGCCCTTCCTTCTTTTGCTGTTCCCTCTGTTCTCCCCCTCTGTTTCTCTTGTCCTTTTTCAATCTGGTGGTCTTACCTGTAACCCCTCTTCTGTTCTGCCCTTCCTGCTCTGCTCTCATTCATCACTCTTGTGTTCTTCCCCCTTACAAGCTCCTCTCTTCCCTCTTTTCTTTGTTCTGCTCTCTCTCCTCTCCTTCTCTCTCTTCCTCTTTATTCTCCCTGCTCCTCTCTCTCCTCCTTCCCCTTTTTTCTTCTCATTTCTTCACCTTTATGTTCCCAGGGAGATTGCTCAGGAGACTACAGGAAGGTTCTGCTGAAGCTCTGTGGCGGCGAGGATTGAAGGATTCCTGGCGTACATCCTGTGCTGTCGGAAGGAGGGGATCATAAGGATTTCTCTCAATTGGTTTTGTTTTTTTTTCCTCTCATTAATTGCTGAGTAGTGACTTTGATTAATTAATGCTCTGGTTGGGTAATGGCAGTTCCATTTTACCCTTAACTTCTGCACTTTTGCTTTCAACACCCCTGTGCATCTAACTGAGCTATAAAGCCTTGTTTAATCAGAGTGCTTTAACCAAATCTATGCAAGCTTTGTTATTTCCTTGCTGTCCCTCTGCGTTTACCAGTCAAATCCTGTCAAATGAAGCAAATTTGGACATGGAATGTAGGAATTTGCAAAGGGAAGAATTAACTTTGTCATTATATGGAGAGAATGCAGCCAGGCTTCAGCTTTTGGAAGATAATTTAAAAAAAAAAAAAAAAATCAAATTTGATGAAATGGTCTTTTCCAACCTAAATGATTCTGGGGTCACCAAATGCAATGCCAGGCCGTTCCCACCATGCCCACTGACCGCGTCCATCAGTGGTTCTTGCAAAGCTCCAACTTGTCAGCTTGCTCTCTGAGTGTGGAACAAAACCAGCCGTGCTGGACTTCGTGTGCTTGTTGCCTGTGGGTCTGGAGGTGGGGAAGCCGCCCCTGGTGCCTGCAGAAGGAACAGCAGCGCTGTGCCTGGTCACGGATCAGCCTCACAGCCTTGGTCTGCCTGCCTTGACTGTGGCAGTGTAAGTCATCAGGTTTGTGTGTCAAGCCTTTGCCCTCAGTTAATTGCTGTCACTGGAAGGGTTCCTACGAAGGAATGAGCTGTAAAGCACGTCTCATCAGCGCTGCCTGATGTACTGAGCTGTTCTGGGGTCACCAAATGTGCCAGCACCTCCTGCCGGGACTTCTGGATAACGCTGCCCTTAGAAACTGCTTTTGGTGCCTTTGTGTGATGTGAAATTCCCTACCGACCTCTGAAATAAATTTTTCCCCCAAGCTTAGCTCCCATCTGCTAAGCTGTGAACACTGCAGGACGTGGTTCTTGTTTGCTTTTGCAAAGTGTGACTGTTGGTGAATAACGCGGTGCATCGCAGAGCGCCTGCTGCCCTCTGCGGTGCTCAGGAGCTTTTCTGAGCTGGGCTGCAGCCCCACGGCGCAGCCTCGCATCTGGTGACGGACTGAAGCTGGAGGATCCTGGCAGCAGAGGACGCTGCTGCCCCATAGGAGGACTCGCAGCTCCACCGACCTCATTGCTGGTGAGGAGGCAGAGGTGCCCCCAAGCGATGAATGCAGGCCACCCAACCTCACACCTCGTGTGGTTCACCAGGAAGAAAGGTGGGTGCAGGTAATACTGCATCAGAAGTGACTGCAGAGCTCTCGTTGTCCAGGGTGTGGGGGCCCAGGTGATGCTGTGGGATGAGTGTGAAAGGGGGGCGCTGGGGGTGCAGGATTGGTGCTGTGGGACTGGCTGTCCCTTCCTCCTTCTGCCATGGTGGGGGCTGCAGCACCCTGATGTGTCACCTGGCTGCCCCCAGCATGGTGGGGCTGAGGAGAGGGCTGAAGTGCAGCCAGGTGAGGGGAAGTCAGCTTTGGGGGAAGGGGGAGGGTTCTGTCTGCAGCCTGGAGCAGGGACAGCACAGGCATAAGATGGACAGATAGGGGCAGGGATAGGGATAGAGCAGGGACAGGGGCAAAGAAGCAGGGCTGGGATAAGGACAAGGATTCGGCAGCGGCAGGATGGGCAGAAAAGGGGCAGGACAGGATTGCAGGTACTGCAAGAGATTTGAGTATGGAGGGAGGACAGGAAGGGACTCTGAGCATCCCAAGATGGGCAATGAGCAGGAACAGAGGAGGAATGGAAGGGGTAAGAGGAAGGGATGGGATACGGCGCGAGGACTGCAGTGAGCTCACACAGGAGCAGCCCTGGAAGGGTGCAGAGGTGCTGTGGGTGCGTGGGGAGGGGAGGCTGAGAGCAGGTGGGTCAGTTCCAGAATCCAGGTCTGGGGGAAGGTGCAGATGTGCTTCGTGTGTGTGGAAACGGGCCAGGAGGGCTTTCTCCATCCCCTTTCCAGCAATGGAGGTGGTGTGGTTCCCTGGGTTCTCCCTCAGTTCCCGTTTCCAGAGGCACACGAGGGCACCAGTTCATGTCCTGTGTCCCACTGCTCCAGGCCGTGCCCCGGAGCCCCCTGTGTGCCCACTGCTTCCTGGCTCAGGATGGCCTCGTGTTCCCCCAGCAGCATCCATTCTCCTGCCTCCTTTCCCCAGCAGATCCCATCTGGGACAGACAGAAGAGATGCTGTGGAACACGAGTGATCGAGGGCGTGGGCTCATCTCCCCCCCACCACACCAAAGGGCTGAGTGCGCCCCGGCTCCACGCATCGAGTGCTGCACGTGGCTGTGACGCAGGACCTGCAGGGACACAGGGCTATGAGGACGCAGGCCGGACTCCGACCCCGTGACGTGGGGGCAGTGGGGCGGGAGCACCCAGGCCGCTTCCTGGGGCAGGTGCTGCCTTCAGGCCCACGTCAGAGGTGGCCCCACGAGGCGATGGCCCAAAACAGCCCAGCCCTGAGCCGCTGACCCATGCCGCATGAGTGGGGAGAACAAATCCCAGCGCCCAGGCTTGCTGCCAGCCCCCTGAGTCAGGCACCCTGGCTTCCTGTGCCTGGCTGCCCTGGGACCACTGGGCTGTGATTCCTGCTGGGCAAGGGTCAGCGTCCGATGCACTGACTGTGTCCATTGCACAAAGGATGGGGTAGCTGGGGGGGCACCGAGCACTGTGAAGGGAGGTGGGCACTCAGCTGTGTGCAGGGTTGTGCAAACACACGGTGATCCAGTGCTGGTATGGCATTAATTTGGGGTGGGCTCTTTGAGAGCTAGAGCAGACTGCGGGGAGGGGAGGGGTGGGTGACCCGATGCCGGGGAGAGGTGGTTGTCCTGTGGGATGCTGGTGCCACGCATAGCCCCTACACGGGGACCGGAGCGTCACCGCGGTGCCAACCAACAGCTGGCAGAGGGCGGGCGCTGCGCTGAAGCAGAACCCGGCCCTTGTCTGGTGCTGTGCTGGGAGCTGAGCCGGGGCCACGTCGGGCTGCGCCGTGGGCCGTATCCAGGGCCGCGTCAGTCCGTGCCGGGGCGCATCCGGACGCGGCCGGCGCACACGCGGCTCCGCACGGGGCAGCTCCGGGCCCGGCCCGCACGTGGTCTCGTGGCGCGCTGCCCGCCCAAGGACCCGGTGGGTGCGCCGCCGCCGCCGAGCGGAACCGACCAATAGCAGCGCGACCCCGGCCCCGCGGCGCCGAGCTGACCAACGGGAGCTGCGAGCCGGCTGCTGACGTCACGAGAGGGCGGGCGCTGGGTGTCGGCGGGCTATAAAGCCGAACGGGCGGAGGGCAGCCGCGCCAGTGAGAGGCGGAGGAGCGGCGGAGCGAAGCTGAGAGCGGCGTCCCTCGTGCTGCGTCCCGGCCTTCCCGCCCGGCGCTGTCGGTGAGCGGTGCGGCCCTGCGGGGCCTCGCGTGGCGGCGGGACTGGGGCGGGAGGGGAACGGCCGTTGGCGGTGCGCGGGAAGAGCGCTGAGGCCCCGCTGTCCGCCCGCAGGATGTGCCGCCCGCCGCCATGGAGCCCGGCCCGGCCCTGAGCGCTCGCAGCCGCCCGCCCCGCCGTGCAGCCCTATAGCGGCGGCAGCTCCGCATCCCGCCCGCCGCACAGCCTATTTAATTCCCCGCCGTAATTTATTGTAGCGTCCCCATACCCCCCCCCCCCCCCACACACACCCTTCCCCGCCCCACTCACGCCCCCTCGTAGCCCGGAGCTTTGGCCATGGAGCTGCCCCTCTCCGAGCCCACCGCCGCCCCACTCACCCCCTTCCTATGGATGCTGGTGCTGGGCTTCGTCATCGCCTTCGTCCTGGCCTTCTCGGTGGGTGCCAACGACGTGGCCAACTCCTTTGGCACGGCCGTGGGCTCCGGTGTGGTGACGCTGCGGCAGGCCTGCATCCTGGCCAGCATCTTTGAGACGGTGGGCTCCGTGCTGCTGGGGGCCAAAGTCAGCGAAACCATCCGCAAAGGGCTGATCGATGTGGAGATGTACAACGGCAAGCAGGAGCTGCTGATGGCCGGCTCCATCAGCGCCATGTTCGGTGAGTCCCGGTCACGGCGCTGTGACACCCAGATGCGCCCCATGCTTCCTCACCCGCCTCCCTTTTGCCTTCCAGGCTCGGCCGTGTGGCAGCTTGTGGCTTCGTTCTTGAAGCTCCCCATCTCGGGTACGCACTGCATCGTTGGAGCAACCATTGGATTCTCGCTGGTGGCCGAAGGGCAGAAAGGCGTCAAGTGGTCCGAGCTGCTAAAAATCGGTGAGCCGGGCGAGGCGATGCTCCAGGAGCATCGTGCCCACCTTGGTGCGTGGCACCGGCTCCTGGCAGGGCTTCCTTCCCACGGCGGGGCTCCAACAGCACCTCTTTCCTCCTAGTGTTGTCCTGGTTCATCTCGCCCCTCCTTTCCGGCATCATGTCTGCCGTCCTCTTCTTCCTCGTCCGTAGGTTCATCCTCCGCAAGGTAAGGATGGCCCAGCTGTGCTGGCAGGCTGTGGAGCTCCTGCTGCTCGCTGCTTTGTTTGCTGGGCCGCGTGCACTGCAGTGTGTCTGCGTGTCCTTGTGGCTGAGCGATGGGGAGCCTGGGCCCGCTCTTGTCCCGTGAGGTGGGGACCAGGAGATAAGGAGCTTTTGCTTGCCTCTTCCAAAACATCTGGGCTGTTTCAGCAGGGGCAGCTGCAGCTTTGCTGCTGGAGCTGATAAGGTTGGAGCTGCATGCCATGCTTTTCTGGACTCACGTGAGGCTCTCGTTCTGCAGTGGTAGTTGACAAGTGATGATGGTGGCTTTTTTTGAAGCCGGGAAGAACCAAAATTGTCCCTGGTGCCTGGAAACTGCACTTCCCTCTGCAGGAGAGGCAGGCTGAGCAGCCCACACCTCCTGGCTGTTCTGCTGCAGCTGCTTCCCCACTGCTGCTGGTTTCAGTCTCCCAAAGTCAGGATTCAGGGTGCTGCTTTATGCGTGGTTTGTGGCTGTGTCACTTCAAACTCCCTTCAGCTCCTCTGGTTTCCTTTGGTGTTTGGAGGAGCTGCTGCCCACAGATGTAGGAGCTTTTCCATCCCAAACCGCTGGAGAGCAACAGGTCTGGTGTGGGGGCTGTGCTGGGGGCAGCCATGTGAGGACCCTCTGGTCGTGTGCCATTCTATCCTGGCAGCTGAAAGCTGTGCTCAAAGCTCCACGGCCAAATTGCTCTGTGTTCCTCCCTGCCCTAAACCTTGCCTGGTGGCAGCAGCACCCTGATGGGGCACTGAGACCTCAAGGGAATTCATGGGCTCTGTCTGTGCTGGAAAAGATTTCTGCTGTTTAGGGAGTCTGAAAGTCTGGGAATAAAAGGGTCTGGCACCCAGAATATTGGGGGTGCAGCTTTGGAGGTTATTTTTTGGGGGTGATGAACTTGAAGCACGCTGATCCTTCAGGTTGGGGGCATTCAGCTGGCTGCCCAGAGCGCCCGGCTCCAGCGTTCTCTATCAGCACTTTGTTCTGCACGTTTCAGTTTAATGACACCCGTGATTTTAGGTCTGGAAGAACTACTTCTGCTCCAAGAGATGTTAAGATCTTATCGCTGTGCTTTCTGCCTGGCAACCCTTTCAAAACGCTCCGGCGTCACTGCTGTGGGAGCAGCCTTGCATAACTGCCCTTTCAGAGCCCTGCTTGCCACCTCCCGCTTCCCGCTGTCCCTCGGTGTTGGCAGCAGTGCTGGGCAGGGCTGGGCTTGGTGCTCCTGCTGCCTCCGGGCGCAGGTCTGCAGGGCAGCGAAGCTGCTTGCAAGCTGAGGGCTTTGTCGTTCTGCCCAATCAGTGAGAAAGAGGCAAAAGCTTTGAGGAGGGCTTTTCTCCCAAAGCACCCGGTGGGACCAAAAGCCCCACGCAGCCGGAGCGCAGGGAGGGGATGCAGGGACCTCCAGCCCAGAGCTGCTGCTGGAGCCGGGCGCCCAGTGAGAG